CAGCACATTCAGGAGTACCTAATTCAGGGCTGTGGAGTCGGAGTCGGAGTCGAGGAGTCGGAGGAAATTTCGGCTTGTGGAGTCGGAGTCGGTAAAATTGTCCAGACTCCGACTCCGACTCCGACTGAAGCTATTCTGTTCCTAAGAACAAATATATGAACTCAGGCATATTCATTGCAGTGATTCCACTGATCCCACTAATTTTCTTAAATTATTAAAAGAATTTATTTCCATTTTATAAGCATTATTATGAATTTATTGTAGCAGGCACAGTATAGCACTATAATTTTGGACGATAGTCTCTTCTTTACCATTTGAAATTTTGAATTATATCAAATTTTGTTTCGTTGAAAACTGCACAGAGGCTCTCAGCTACAAAACAATTAGCTACAACCTGTTTTTGGTGAGATTAAGGCAAATTTAATTTAATAACTTAATCATGTAAGGTTTATCCATTTTCCTTAATAAGGTATTCATTTCTTTAATGTACATAAATATATAACTTTACTTTAAAAGGAATTGTAGGATCATCATTTAGATCCACATCAGATTATGAGCTTAAACAAAATTCATATGCTGAGATCGAACTTTTAGATATACATGTAAATGGTGTTTTCTAGTTAATATCTTGAATTCTTAATAAATTTATTTTTCTTTTGATTGAAACTTTGAAAGTCAAGCCTATCATCTTTTTGTAGTTCTTAAATATCGTCCAGATCATTAATAAAGCTGTAGCAGTATAGCCACGGTGTTTTACTTTTTACCTATGCAGGTTACAACATACAAATTACAATTAGGATGGTAGAAATAGTTGTTACAAATAGGCCAAGGAGTCGGAGTCGGAAGCATAAAAATTTGAGGAGTCGGAGTCGGAGTCGAAGGTTTTGTCTTCGACTCCACAGCCCTGCTTAGGACAATTATTTCTTTTACCTCGTTCGTTATAGCATTCGTTCGTTATAGGATTAATCCATTCCAGGCCCCCAAATACAACCACTTATCAATTAAAAATTTCTGTGGAAATTGTAAAAAATACGGTATGTTATCTTACCTTAGTGTTGTTAGCATGCAGGACAGGAGGCAGAGGAGAAGGGGGGAGGAGAGAATTTTGGAGAAGAGGTGGAAGGAGAGGAGTCATCCTTCCTATCCCTCTTTGGTGACTGTCTTACAGGCACTTTGTCTGTTTATTTATAATTTCTTTCTTAGTTTCAAGGGTTATTAGCTTTCTCACTCGCTTTTGACGATTCATTGTTGTAATTGTACACTTGTTTAACAAAATAGTTATAAAAATAACACGAAGTTCCACATCAAAAGACGAAATTTCAACAAGTTCAGTGGTGCACTGACTACACAATGAACCAATATGGCACCTGACGCTCTTGCTGTGAGCCGCGGAACAACAATATTCATGCGCCAGACGAAATAGTCCCGTATTCATCCGCGTTCGTTGTAGGAGTTGCGTTCGTTATAGCATTCTCAATTTTATAGGTAAAACCGTTCGTTATAGGAATATTCATAGTAGAATCCGTTCGTTATAGCATACCCTACTGTATGTGTGTGTGTAGACACACACACACAAAACACATACAAATAAATAATAATTAGAAAATCTTCTCACAAATAATCAGAAAAAAATTTATTAAAAATGTGAATCTACCCTCAAGTCCATGCTCTATTAATAAAGAATGGACTTGAGGGTAGACTGTCCCATTTTTAATAAATTTGTTTCTGATTATTTGTGAGAGTATTTCCCATTATTATTTACTGTATGTATTTTGTGTGTGCCCACACACAAACAAACAAAGTACAGTATTTCTCTTCTTATTACAGCTCCAGGGGTCAAATGCCTTGTTTAATACAGTATATTTTTTCCCTTCTCTTGAATGATGCTAACTAGAGCACTGCTCTGTTTAAAAGGCAACGGTATGCTACATTCATGACTATCCATATTTCCCGTACCGTGTTGTGACAACTGACTTGCGACACCGCAACTGCCAGCCATCCAAGTGTGGTCAACACCCGTTGAAATATAACCTTAAAAAACCTATGAAACACCAGAGAATAATAATTTATATATCCTACAGATATCCTCTTAACACTTTTATGTTCATTTGGTCATATAACGTGAATTTTTTTTAGTGTTTGTTACTTTTTTGTGCGTTTGAGGAAAATATTATTGGGGTAATGGTTGCCTGGGTTGTGGCAACAGTGGGCCATCCAGCCGGTTGATCAGGATCACGACCCATCATAGTGCTTGAAGCACGTTCTTGAATAACCTCTCCCTAAACGAGCTTTTGGTTCCCGATGGTCGGGCTCACCAGCGGACATGACGACTGTGAATACGGCCCCGAGTAGCATGGGGGGAGTTTATATGGGGTGCTTTCACCTGATGTAGTTAATTCTTACAATTCTACAAGACACTTAGTTAGAAGATGAGGATTTTCATGATACAGGTTGGGTTTCCTTTATCCAAATTGCTTGGGGCCTTAAGGCCCGAATTCAGAACGGTAGTTTGAACCTGGGATTTGAGTTCGGCTCAGGCATGCGAATCAGGATTCCTTGAGCCGAAATTTCCTGCAATGAATTACCCATATTCAGAACATCAGCTTGAACCCCGGATTGGGTAAGCTGTTGCCTTTTCTTCAGTTATGAGCAAGGATTCAAACACTCAAATTCCAGCCAATCATGTTTCATCTACACCATTATGACAGTCAATCACCATCGAGAGTAATGTTTACATGATTATGGCGGCAACTATGACTCGACGAGTTTTTACGGAGGAGAAATCTCTCCTTGCACATCAAAAGTTACTTTTATTACTATAATTACAATCAAGTTATGATCAAATTACAATGATTTGTGGTACTGTGTTACAATGTGCTTTGTTGTTATATGATAAAGAAATTCATAGAGGAAGAACAATTACATACAAATTGTAGATATAATCCGGGACAGGTGTCAATATTCATAACCAAAGCAAGATGAATCAATGCAGGGCGTAGTAACCCAGGTAAGTTCGGTTAGCTTAGGATTCTTTCTGTTCTTTTAACGCCACATTTCCCCTGATTAGTAATGTTAAGAAAAGACTTTCCTTACTTAATACACTAAAATCAAAATGCACTCAGCATTGATTCAATTATATTGAAAATACATCAAATAGTTTTCCTAAAGAAAAACACTCAAAATAAAGAAGCATCAGCGTTCTTTACATTTACATACCAGTACTTTATTTTCATGGACCCTAAACACAAAAGTGTTGTAACACACTACCATAACTCATTCAGTAACCAGAACCTTTCTTACCCGGAAACTGTTCGTTGCAAAGAATCTCAAAGAAATCATGAGCTGATGAAAGGGAGGTAGAGGTGAACCATAGCCAATAGGTCTGTCAAGTAGATGCTCCATATCACAGAAAATATCAAGGAAATCTCCCTTGCTGAACCTATATCGTTGTTTAAATTGTGTTTCATCATAAAAATTTATAGGATTCTCCATATCAACCATTGGTCTTCTCTCTACACAATTTCCAATTTGGTGATATTGCCAATAATCGCCCTCTGTCAAAATTCATGTTGACTTGCTTGAAGGATCAACTGCCAATCCTGCCTCCAGGCTGGATTAACGCAAAGATCGACAATTCCGATCTCAAACCCAGGTTTGAATCTTTGTGTTGGCTCAAGCCAACATTAATCTCTGCTCAATCCTTGGTTTAAACTTTCATGTGGTTTAAAATCACTTTTCTGAATTCGGGCCAAAGGGTCTCGGATTTGGGATATTTTCGGATTTTGGAATACCTATATCCTGTCTACAGAACCTGTATAATGTGGTAGCTCACCCAACTAGGATGGGGCAAAGTCTATGCACAAAATTCATTTACAGCATATGGATATATATATTCTGCAGGTAGTTTTATGAAATATAAATAATCATTTTGGGTATAAAATATATGATAAGATGTACACTAAAGACCCAGAAAGGCAAGCAATCACTACTGTCTGTTTGGCATCACCATGACGCCTGACTCTGAGGCGCTAAGCAGCCTGTGTCTTACCTTTATTCATTACACATACATATTTGCCCTAGTAAACATTATGATATATGCCATATTGTGTATTATCTACCATAAATATAATGAAATAGACTTTCTGCTTTCGGAGCATTTTGAACTTGGGAATTTCGGATAAGGGATACCGAACCTGTACAATAATTTACTAGTGGATTGTAACTATACTGTTCCCTTTTAAGAAATAAGCATGTACAGTACCATAATCTGAAAGTAAAAAATTATTATTATAATCTATAATAAATTTTTTTTTCATTGTAATCAAAATAAAGCAGAACTGTTACATTCCATCAGTCTTGGAGCAAAACAGTTACATTCTACAAGGTGCATCTTGTAGCCATCCTTTATTCTCAATCTTTATGATGAGTATGCACTAGTCATCTGTTTTCCCAAAATTAAAATCTACTTTTGTCTTTTAAATTTAATTCACTGTTTTACAACAATTTAAAATATTAATCCTTTTCACAACAACATGACGTTAAGATGGCAGTCAAGGTCTATATTAAATTCCAACGAGGTAAGCAATATCACTTTCTTAATTTTGTTCTTATAAAAATATTTGTTTATATCAATATTTCAATGACACCTGTTGCTTGAAGATGTGGATATTCTTAATCCTGGGTCTTGTTCTTTCATATAAACATGGTAGGCCAAGTCACTTTTTTGGGAACTTTTATGCCATTAGTACCTCACAAGACAGTCTCAATATTCATCCACATGATCCAAAGAAATAAGACAGTATTAGAGCAAATTATAAATGCCAGAGGAATGGGAATATGCATTTTAATTTTACTAATACAACTATGAAAATTATCTCATTTCATGACATGCTTTCCTATAATTTTAGTTTTTTGTACACATTTATAGAATGAATAAAAGATGCTTATGCAACAGAACTTGAAGTAATTCCTATTTTGAGTGTTATAACTGAAGAACCTACCCAGTGAGACTCCTTGTGGGTAAACATAGGCAGTCACAGGTTCCACTCGGCCATCTCCCTGTGGGCCAAGGCCGGTGCCAACAACATATCCCATCTTCTCCATCAGCTTTGATCCAATGCCCTAACAAAATCAACTGAGACAATAAACACATTAACACACACAAACAAACATACAATAGAAAAACTGTCAGCGTCAAATGATTAAAGAAATTAATAGTATTGTACAAGTATTCATTAAACATGATCCATATAGTGAAGGTATGATATACGCTAACTTGGCTATTCATACTGATCTTTCATTTAGCTTCTAATAGCTAATAACTCATTGGATACTAAAAATATGAATGCAACTTCTACCCTCAACATAATGAATAAGATATCTATTAATTATGGCTTTTCCCACACAATTACACTTGAAGTAAGTGTTTTCCAAACTTTTAATAGCTGGACACCCATACCTCAGTGATAAAAGAAAAACCTCGATTTTGTTTGTTTTAAATAAAATTTTCAAGTCTGTAAGAAAACAGCAACAAAAAAATCGTGAAATCAATCATCTGGTCGTATTAGTGTAATCTGTGAGCTAAATTTTCAGATAAATTTTTTTTCATCAGAGTCAGTGAAGAAATAGTGACTTGTAGTTCATGTTTAATATATTCTGAGAGCAGTACTGTCTCCAAGACAGTAAAAGCAGAAAATCCAGTTTCTCAGATGTATGATGTCACAAAAGGTATAAGAATGTTGATGGCCTTGTCTGAAAAATGGGATCCTCCTTTTTGGCATGCAAACAATACTTAGAAAGATTTACTCATCAAATGCCTGTTGTAACAAATCATCACTTGATAAGTCTATTATCTGTTCTTGTTCAAAATTTGTCAAACCAAACACAGGCTTTTGCAATAAAAGGATTTAGTATTCATTCAAGTTCTGAGACATCTATGTCTTTAAAACAAATTCAAAACTGCTTCTGTAGTATTAAATTATTCAACAAACAATTCAATGTTGGCTTTCATTGCAATGAAGAATTCTTTCTGGTGCAGTGAACATGATAAAAACTGATATCTTCTAAATTTCTTTCCATAATTGTAGCCTTCTCACTCACACACACAGTCACCTTGTTGTTTTGGATTTGAGGATCTTGCTCTGACCTAATCAAATAGACCAGTTTTTCAAAAATATCAACCAAACCATTTTTGGGATCTGGCTGCACTCTCCAGAGCCCCATAATTAGGAAAATTCTACTTTAAGTGATTCTGTTGTACCCTAATACTGTACTGCATTCTACAATACAGGACTATTTTGTTTAAAATCATATTGCTAACCTTAGTGTGCTTTTCCCAATCGCCAAGACGTTTTGAGAGAGTGTTCTGAAACCAATTGGCTGTAGGGATGAAAACTGCTCTTTCATCATCACTGCTATCAATGTCACTAGCACTGTCTAATACAGGTGTCTGTAAAGAAAAAAAAAATTCAGTCATATGTTTCATTAGTTTTAATAATAATAAAAAATATTATTTCAAAGAATTTAGGACTGTACATACTATTACAAGGTGTCTACTGGCCAGACAAAACAAAATTCCGGATGCCAGAAATCCAGACCACCCGAGAATCCGGACTTTTCGAAAACTGTTTTTTTTATATTTAGCTGACTTTTGTGTGTATGTGCGCATGCGTGAGTGCCACAGCTGCACAGCGACAACAAGCGACCACACGGTCGCCACTTTAAAACGAGCAATCAAACTGTGACAACGTATGTAATATTGAGTCCTACTCTTTCCATTTACAGAGTACTGTACAAACCCATAACAATGGCTCATAAAGTAGATAAACTTCGTTGTGTGAAGAGAAAGAAGAACACGTTGAAATTGAGTGACAAATTTGAAATAATTAAGAAACTAGAATGTGGTGTGAGCAATACTGTTCTAATGGAAACATACGACATTGGAAAGTCTACGATTTATGATATAAAAAAGGCAAAGAATAAAATTCTAGAATTCACAGCTTTTTCTTTAAAACAGCTCGTTTTGATAAATGAAGCATGCTATATTTGCTAATAAATAAACTATCAAAATGTGCCTGTTTATCTCTTCTTCATTCCTCCTTATATTTGAATTTTAAAAGTACTGCCTGAGAATCCGGAAAATCCGAAAATACGGACCGACCCAATCCCGAAGCAGTCCGGATTTTTGGACTTCTACTGTACATTAACTCTGTAATTATTACGACCCACCCCAAGGCTCATGATGAACATTAGTGAAGACCTTGACACCCCGGAAATCCAGCAAGAATTGAAAAATCACACTCCTGATCCACCTACTGTATATTACTCATGACTAATATGTGGAATAATCCACTTAAATAAAGACACTTAATTATAAGACAATTCATCTCGTACAATACTCATTGCAGGGTATAACCTGTAATATTTTGTTATTTGATCACGAACATGAAATGTGATAGGTACACAAACAATTCAGTTACTGGAGTGGACTGTTTACTGGAATTTGTCCCTAAAAGTTATATTATTTATCTAGTGCATAGTACATCATTAATTTACGGTAAGATTGCTGTAAAAAAAAAATATATATTTTGAAGTTGAACTGAATTCACATAAAATTTCAGATTTCTTTGTAAAATTCCTTGGCCTTTTCAGGTTTTCCAGCCCTACAAATAAAATTCCCTGCCTTTCCAGGTTTTCCAGACCAGAAGACACCCTGATAGCCTATACAGTATTTTTAAGAAAATGTATATAAAGGTGATAATTTCAAAGGTTCATTAATTAACACTAATTACTCAAATTTTTAAATTGTGAATCCAGCGCTTTGAACAGCATGTAAAGTAGTGCAGTGGGGTATGCTATAACGAATCTAATTGGTTCTAGAACCTTGTTCGTTATAGCATTCGTTCGTTATAGGATTAATCCGTTCCAGGCCCCCAAATACAACCACTTAACACTGAAAAATATAATATAAAATTGTAAAAATTGTAAAAAAGTGCACAAATATGCATCTAAACCCCTGAAATAAAGAATATTATTAATATTTGTAATAAAAAAACAATAAATCAGAAAAAAAAAAAATTAAATAATGTTCGTTGTAGGAGTTTCGTTCGTTATAGCATTCTTAATTTTATAGGTAAAACCGTTCGTTATAGGAATATTCATAGTAGGATCCGTTCGTTATAGCATACCCCACTGTACCTTTGTATGAAATTTAAAAAAATTCAATTTTTTACCCAAAGTGGATTTTTTACGTAAATTTATATTTTTTGGGAACGTGAAAACCAACTTGTTTATATAGTTAAGACAAAATGTATAGAAAGGTGATTTAAAACTTACAGGCACAGCATAATTGACCTTTTAAATATCTTTAGTTACTGTGTACTGTATATATACAGTAATTTTTTGCCCAAAATATACTTTTTTCACAGAATTGAAATTTAAGGGGTTTAACTAATTAAGTACTTACACAATAACACATTAACACTAAAATCGTACTTTGGAAACCCATAGTTGGCGAGTAATTAGCATTGAAATATGTAATTAAATTATCCAAGGGTCATTACAGCCCCTGATTACCCTGCAATCGAATCGTGGACCATATATTCGAAATTAGCATGCTCTGGAGTACTTATAATGTGATTTTCAACAAAATCTAATCTTTGGGCCAAAACTGTCGAAAAGGTAAGCCTTACCCCTTGGTAATTTTTCGCCCAAAATATACTTTTTTCACAGAATTGAAATTTAAGGGGTTTAACTAATTAAGTACTTACAGAATAACACATTAACACCAAAATCTTACTTTGGAAACCCATAGTTGGCGAGTAATTAGCATTGAAAAATGTAATTACATTATCCAAGGGTTATTACAGCCACTAATTACCCTGTGGGTATATAATTTGCGATTTTGACGATTCGTAGTAAGCAGCTGGCGACTCAGGTGGCTAGTAAGTACAGTACTCTGACTTAAGTTTCTCATACACAGTATAGGTATACCTGTATATTAGTGTACTAAGGTATTATATAAGTGGCTTTTCCTTTACGAATAGCAAGGGTCTACTGTGTGTATGTATAGTATAGTATAGTGGTCCCTCGGTTAATGAACACAATTCGTTCCACAGAGTCGTTCGTTAACCGAAAATTTTGTAAACCGAATCTATTATTCCAATGGGATAATGGGTAATTGGTTCCAACTCACAGAAAAAATATACATACAAAGTACACTAAACTAAATACAGTACTGTACTGTACAGTATACTGTATAATAATAAATAAAAAACAATAGAATACTGTATTTTAACTTACTCTGAGGTGTGTATGTCGTATTCCCGGCAGCTTTGTTTACATATCAAACAGCTGATTGTAGAGGCAGTCAATGATGACATGCCATATTCTTTACAGAGTGCATTGGTTCTAATGCCTTCTTCATGTTTCATAATAATTTCTGCACTGTATATTATCAATATGTTAACTAAATTTCAGAATGACCAATAATTTTAATGTAAAAATGCAAAAATATTCAAGAGACCAATAAACTGGATGTTCACTCCACTGTAAACAAAGTTAAACCGAGAAGCGTTGTTGGGTGATTCAATCAGCTGATGGGCGCACAAAAACTGTTCCCTGTACTGTATATATTATCAATATCTTAACTAAATTTCAGAATGATCAATAATCTTAATATAAAAAATGCAGAAATATTGAAGAGACCAACTTTCTTGATATTTACTCCACTGGAAACGAATGTAAACATAGAACTAATTACTGTACTGGCGGACTGGCCGCTCAGCTGATGCGCACAACAAAACAGGTTTGTCGTAAGGATTTTGTTAATCAAAGTTTTGTTCGTTAATCGAACTGAAAATCCTTATGGGAGCCAATTCGTTAACTAAAATTTAGTTAATCGAACCGTTCGTACAGTCTCACCCAAAAGTTTGTTAACTCTTCCAGCCAGCTATTGCTGCACTGCCTGCTTCAGATGTTTGAAACTGTCTCAGTACCAACCAGAACATGAAACCGATACGAATGAATCTAAAGGTACGAAGTAACAGACTCAAGTTCATACATCTGAAGCAGGCAGCGCAGCAATAGCTGGATGGGACAGTTAACAAACTTTTGGATGAGACTGTACTGTATAAAGAAAAAGAAAAAAATACCAACCTCAACTTTATCCTCTTCTTCATCATTTTCACATTGAAGAGGAATCATCTGTGGCAGCTGCACTTCTGCTATTTCCTTGTTCTTGTCATATTTGACACAGAAGGCTGACCTATCTTCAAGGACATCCTGCACAGTGGCACTGGTCCACAAGTCACTGCTATGCTGGACCAAAACACGACTCCCAGTTACTATGGTGTCATATTCTGGCTCTCTGTAAGGTATATAATTATCACTATACCTGTACAGTATACTACTGTACATATATATAAAACGACAAGCTTTATAGGTAACAAATGTCATGCTCTTCAGGGATAATTAAAAAATAAGAGAGAAATTTCTAAATTCATATACCTGTATAGGTATAACCTTATTTAAAACAGGGTTGTGTTCCTGAAAAATATTATGTACAGTATATTGAAATTTGTAAATTGAAGTACATTTTCACATAGACTCCATTAAAATAGCTATGATACATTCCTATGGAAAAAAGTCTAAGATGCTAAAATCATGTTTACTGCTGAATGCCCTTCCGATTGCAAACCCACTTTTACAGAGTGCAAACTGGGCATTATATAAAGGACTTCCAAGCACCCTCTTATTAAGGCAGGGTTGCTACTCTGAAATAATCGGCGATTACTCATTTATTCATCTACCTTTTTGGAACAAAACTGTTTAAAAGCCAACAACATCTTAGTGGGAAGGGACTCCATAAAGCCAACATATTAGATATTAAGTTAGAGGTGATAATGTGCACTAAGGTTGGTGAAAAGTGTAATTTGTGTTCTGAAGTGGCATTTTATAATACGATGAAGTTTTTCTAGAAAAATATCTTCCAATTTGTAATGGTAATCAGTGGATAACTACAATTCAGTTCATCACAGGGTTTTCAGAAACATAGACCTATTGTGAATTGAGGTACAATACAATATACTGCTGGGTCACATTATAGCACGACTTGATACACTGTTTTTGATATACGTACAGTACATTGGAGTTGTATTAATTCGTGGGTTAGGTACCAGAAGACATCGTGAATTATCAAATCATGAATTACCATATAGTTTATTACATTTAAATGGAAATAATTAGTTAGGTTCCAGAGGCCAAAAATTATGAAGAATCTGCTTTAATAAATACAGTATTAAATCTCATACATAATACGTACATTAAAAATACAATAACACAAAGATACAGTATTGTACAAATAGTGTAGTTTCTATATTACACAAACAGCCCTGCCATTCCAATAATAATAATAATAATTAAAGGTTTATTAAGAAAACATGGCAGCCCAAAGGCTGAAAATGTACAATGAACAGAGATGATAAGTTACATACGGTGAAAACGGGGAGTGGGTCACTTGATTGACAAAAGCTTTCAATACAGAAACATAGTCAACATATACTGTAGATTAACCTTAGACCTGGTACTGTGGGAGCTGGTCTGTAGACATTCTTGTGACCTGATTTCGGCGCCAACAAAGTCCTTCCCACTGTCTTGATGGCCGTTGTACCTGACTGCTAAGCCACTACCTCATCCTCTGGGTTACACCTGGCTGGTCAGCTGTTTGCACTATACTGTACAAACACCCCACCGGAAAAGTAATATGACACCATCAGTCATCTGGGGTTGAGTGTAGTAGTTTCTTTTTGGGAGAAAATTGACCATAACTGTACCTGTGTTTTAAAATACTGTTTTATTAACCTGACAGCAAATGAATACTAATGGTGAGGTGAAATTGCATACCTATTGATGTCATTTTAAAGCGGTTACAGGGTGACAGGATGCTCCAGGAGCAGAAGGTGGGGATATTCCTCCTACCTCCTACCTCTCCCACACAGAATTCACTTCCTACTCTTGATTTATCTTATTTTGTAGTTTTACATAATATTTTCTTTATTTCTAAGTCACATTAGACGAGAGCATTGAAATGATATTTATATTTTCTGTATTTCTAAGTCATATTAGTGCACTGAAATGTTATTTCCAAAACTTTTATGGTTTCTTATTTGAATAATCACAGCGGCAGCCGCCACTCGGCTGTGAATTATGACTATTTGACCGCCAAATTTATAAAAAAAGCAATAGGAATTGATGTCACATGAGAAGACAACTACAAACTCGCCAAATTATCAGACAGAACGAATACAAGGAAATACTTTTTCACACAGAGGGTGGTAGACCTAGGTAACAGTTTACCAGTCCAAACTGTGGAATAAAGAACAGTACAGGGTACTGTACTGGGCTTCAAAAGAGCCTTTGAGAAATTATCAAGAACACTGGATGGATCCTACACAGGTCAGTGACCTCCTTCCTTTACCATGGCCACCCCTAGTAGGTGCCCATTAGGTAAATAAAGTAAATAATGACATTATGCAATTTCACCATAACTTCCATATCATTTACGATCATTTGGTGCCAAGTCATTAAAAACATTATCATATAATAACCAATTTTCTAGAGAAAAAAATTCCACACTCAACCCTACAGTAGATGAGTTATTGAATTGTATTAAATTCCTAGTGCCTTGTTTACATCCGGGGTGAACAATTGACCAGCCACCCAGCCTTGGCTGTTTATGTTTTATGTATTATAGAACTACTTTTGGTATAATACATATCTATGTGTTACTGTATTTTTATGTATTATGTATGACATTTTGTGTTTGGGCCTTTGAAACCTAACTAATTATTTCCATTTACAGTATATCAATTAAACTATAATTTATGATTTGATAATTCATGTTGTCTTCCAGTACCTAACCCCCAAATTATCGTGACTCCACAGTATTAGTTCAATTCCATATGCTATCAAAAGTATTACAGTAGAATGGTTCCTCTCACAGATTTAAAAATTTTAGAAATGCAAAGTTAGAAATGCATTCACTTATTGTTATAAATGTTAACTGTTTCTAAGTTCCTCTTACGTACTTAAAAATATTATCTTTAAATCATTAAACTCACCTGTGATCTTTAATATCAGAAATACAGACAATATTTCCATGAGAAAAGCGGCACTCATCTTCAGAATACTTGCACCGACCAGACAAGAAGAAACGGCATGGCAACATTTCCAAACAAGTTGGTTGACTATACAAAACTCGAACCTAGAATATAACATATGAAACTAGTTAGATGGCTCGCACTGTTAAAAACTTATAAATGGTATACATATAAACATCACTTTTTTCTATCAATAAATGGAGGATAGATTCTGAAACCTTGTTTTCTAGGTGAGCCAAACAGCTCACATCACTGGCATGCCTAACAAGTGGATTTATTTCATTATGTCTTATACTGTACCCCATGGCAGTAGGAGGTTATTCTTATGTTCTCCCACCCATCCTCATCCCAACCATGGCCCTCAAATCAAAAGCAATGGTTGCCATCTAAAGGCAGGACTAATTAGAGCTAAGCTATCTAGTTAGTTCTTCATGTTACCTCGAGGGGCTGCCAACTTTGCTTTCAAGACCAATCTGCCATCTTGCTTTTCTAGCCTACTAACTACAAACCCGGTTAGAAAATAGGGTTTCCAGATCAATCTCCTTGTCTGTAGCCTGATGCTCTTCACCAAACAGCTCTCATTACTGAAAGTCAGATAAAAAAAAAATGGGAAGGAAGAGGTACTAAAAACTTTACAAGAGATAGTGGTGATGATGGGGTGGTGGTGAGGGAGTGTGGAAGTGGTGAAGCATCTATCAGTTTCTTTGGTAACACTGCACCTGCAGCACTGGCACATGCTATTGAACAGCTGATACCTACCCAAAAAATTTAGTGAAAGTATAAATGAGCAATGTTGTATCCCTTCAACATTATATAACATAACATTTTAAAATATGGAAAAAGCAGAAAGGTGTGGATGATTAGAGCGATGGCATGAAAAGGAGTAGTAACACACACCAGGTGTGTTGCCAAGCACTCCTCAACAGCTGACCTTTAACCCACCACCATGTATTTGTGTTTCAGTTAACCACACACAATTTTTTGTCATACAGTAAGACTTACACTTAATATAGAGGTACTGTAATACACCCTGTATCTTATGTATTATTAATATATATACTGTACTGTCTTTAATGGGATACTGTACAGTGGTCTAATCAGATTTGATAAAGGCCTAATGAAAGCTAATGGTACCCCCTCACTAGTGCATTTACAGGGGCTTGTAAGGTTTTGTGCAGTGTGCCAGCTCTGTATTTACTTACATTAGACAGAAGGTAAACTCGCAATAGTAAACATAACTATGGAATCAAAGTAAAACAATATTAAAACAAATATCTCAATGTAATGATTTGTGGAATGTTTATTTGTTTAATAAGAAATGCACTGGTTAGACTATTAGCTCATATCTTTTGCCTAGTGGACGGTGGTATGGCGAGGGTAAGTGACATGAGGAGGAAATGGATTGGGGGGGAGGGAGGGGGGGGGGCAGCAGGGAAGGAAGTGGAGTTAAGTCCTGCACTCATGGTATCCGTGAATAATGAAATAAGAAAACACGAGATATAAATTTAAGCTTCAATTGAATGTTAGGCATTTCCAGATGGTAGACTAATACCATATGATGTCTTCTTTTCAAAACAAAAATAAATAAATGTCACAGAACTTAGTTTAAAAATTAATGTTTGCACAGACTTAAAATGAAGAAAAAATTAACACCTATGGCAATACTGTATAAGAAAAATATGAGGTTTTCTAGGGAAACTACCATTTTGTGAGCAAAATTTTTTCTTTTAATGATTACTGTACATCCTATTGCATGACAATACTTACCTGTGGCTTATGTAAGTCAGCTTCACCATCTTCTCCTGTCACCATACTGAGAATGATTGCATTATGAAAGCTATGACCTCCCCATTTCTCAGTGAAAGGCGAACGACACTGAGTTCCCACCATTGCCTCCAATTCCTCTTTAGAGTACTTGTGCTTTGGTTCACTGTCCTCGTCATCACTTCCTTCTGACAGAGCTGCAATCTCAGACTGATGGAAAATATAGCAAAAATTAATTGACATTAGAGATATGTGATAAATGGAAATTGCTGTTGCAATGTTAATACAGGTCGACTCTCTTTTATTCAGCCACCTTGGGACTGAGGTCATGCCGGCCGATATAATTAATGGTACAGTTGCGGACAAAATTCCCTGAGCACTTGGCAATATCTGGCATCTACTTCTGGGTCATATACAGGGTATAAGATTGGTTTATATCTAATAACGATGTTTTTCATCACATATTATGTCAGAACCACAAAATGGAAAAAAAAATAAAATAAAATTAATACAAAGAAAAATCTGCATGCCAGATACTGTACTACAAAATGCCCAGGAAATTTTGTCCACAACTATACATTAGCTTAAGCTACATGTAGCCTAATACCCTATAATAGTATGTAATTTTTTAAATATAAATTTGACACAAATCCTAGTAGATAAATTTAACAAATAAGTAAGTAATGTCACATTAATATTTAAAATTGTAAAATATTGCATAATAAATAAAACAACAAAAATATTAAAATAATTTGTGGATTTTTTTTGCTGTCCTCTATTATTCGCAGATGACACCCTGGATGTACCCAAGAATATCTGCGGGTAGTTTTAAAATTGCCAGCATTTTTGCGGCCGGGACAGGGAGCCATTTGTTCTAGAGACAGTAATTTCCTTTACCTGTATTGTATGTGTGTGTGTACACACACACACACACACACACACACACACACACACACACACACACACACACACACAAAACACATGAAAATAAATAATAATGGCAAAATCCTCTCACAAATAATCAGAAACAAATTTACTAAAAATGTGAGTCTACCCTCAAGTATATTCCGTGCTTTATTAATATCAAAGCATCGAGTAGACTTGAAGGTAGACTGTAACATTTTTAATAAATTTGTTTCTAATTATTTGTGAGAGGATTTTGCCATTATTATTTATTCGTATGTGTGTGTCTACACACACACACACATACAGTATACTGTATATACAATACTACAGGTAAAAGAAATAATTGTCCTTAGGGCAAACACATAAAGGGAATACACATTTTTTTGTACACAGGTAAAAATGTAAACCCCCCCGCCATGGTCAGCAAATGTTATTCGCAGCCACTTTGAGGACCTCACCCCCGCAAATTTGAAGGGCATGCTGTCTATAGAATTCATGCATCCCAGGCCATGCTCAATCACATTTGGGCACATGTAATCACAACACTCATGATCCAATGTGCTCAAACAATTTGTTTTATTTTTGCAGACAAAAATATTTGTCACAGAAACAATTAAAGATTATCTGGAAAATGTAATACAAGGGAGTGTGTGTGAATAACCTCCATCTCACAACCATTCATCAACTGACCCAACACTATCATGACCACCCAGCATGATCTTGCCAGTACAGTATGTACATCCATCTACACCTATTACAGTACAGGTACTGTATTGCCACTTGATGATATTAAAACAATAAGCATTTAATAACAGTGAGAATGCATGAAATAATTATATAAATTGTGGTGATGAATGATTTATTGAGAAGCTTACGGTGAGTCAGATTATAAAATCACAAGTCCGTCAGGTGAATGGTAATTTTGTGTGATGCAAAAGTGAAGGAGACCTCATAAGTTGATCAAATGATTTTGAAAGGTAAAATATCGAACAGTTCTTCAATCAGCATGAGAATGTATGGCTAACAATTAATACTTGTCATTTGACTCACAAAGGCACCACTAACACAGGTAAACATGTAGTAATTAATATTGTATATGAGCAATGAATAAATGTAGATTGTTATCGAAAAAATGTCAGCCCAGGCTTAAAGTTCAACACACTTTCAACCAAAGAAAAATGGTAAGATTTTAGGTAAAATAATTCAAACGATGGTGACGGTAATCCTCCCTGAAGAGAGCAGAAAACCACCGCACACTGCATCACCCATGTTACACACACACACAAACACACACCTGCCGCACTCCATCACCACCAGATGTATCCATTTCGTGAGCCACTGTTTCTGCCATTAAGAGTTTTAAAAGATATCACCACACATTTTGAAAACACTGATACTGATATTGAAACAGAGGAAATTTCTGTGGGCTCTCAGAAAATATTTAGATTCAGCAGGTATGCCAACATGTGCACAAGGTGTTCTTTGAACTTTTGTTTGTTTTTGCCCTTACTATGTTGATGTTCAATGTCCATAAACATGTTCTATATGGTTACTGGAGAAATACAGCCATCTGCGAATACCTGTGTTTGGGATATCATGACTCAAACCCTCATTTCCCATAAAACAAGCACTATTAAGTCTAGATCTACATTACAGTCTTTCAAAATAAAAATGATAGGAAATATAGTTGAGTAAATAACTTCATCTTGATACTGTACCTTGTTTTATTTTATTTTTCATCATAATATATGGCTTCTCTCATAATGATTTTTTTTGTTAGGTTACTATGTTGTAGCTAAGAGGGAGGAAACAGAGAAGATAAAGTGAGACATCACCTACGATACAACATATCTTTTTATTCTCAAGTCAAAATACAAATTATATATTATTTTTTTTTCTGTTATTGATGACTTTATATTATTTATGATGAATCGTAGTATGTCATAAGAGGCTGATCATAGTAGAATATAATAATAATAATGATTCAATAATACTTTAGTCATGTTGAAAGCTGACCTTGACGGCAGTTAAGGTGCTGGATAAGAGGGGATCAACTTGTAATGATGTCGCAGTATTGTACAGTACTGTTTAGTAGAATTAAAATTATGAACTTATCTTGGTTAACTACTCATGCCACATAATGCAAGCAAAAATTTACTCATACCTGAAATAAGGCAAATTCATCATCTAGTTTCTTTTCATGGGATGATGTGTCATTATGTTCAGTCTGATGTTCTTTGTGTTCTCTCTGGGATGAAAGTTCTTCCTTCTGTTGGATTTGTTCCTCCTCTGGTTGTTCATTCAACTGTTGTAGAGTAAGATCTAACAGCTGCAACAGATTAGCTTGGAGCTCCTGAAGTTGAAGTTTCTCTTCGCTTCCTGCAGTAGCTAGAGCCCCTTGAATTTGTTCCAACTAAAACAAAAATATGTACAGAATATTGTAGTGGCTATTCAGCCAGACTATTCAACCATAAACCCATAAGCCATCACTGGTTGAATAGCATGGTACAGTAGTCTAAGCAGCCGGGACGGATACGGTACATAGACAAACAGGCTATTCAGCTGTGAACCGATAAATATATTAACAACTTTATATTTGTAACAAGATCGTTGTGGCCCTGAATTAGCAGAACCTGCTTGTAGACAAATCATTTTAATTTTCTATTGTAATAGTTGTGTGTGTGTATATTGCAGTATTAAGAGTACAGCACAGTACTGTATTGTAAAAAAAATCCTGACCTTACCTGTGTTTGGTATACTTCTATTGACGCCAGGAGTTCTTCTTTTGCCATAATGATGATTACTGCAGTTTGAATACTTTCCAATCCATTCAGTTAAACCACTTACAGAGTGGAAACAATGTCAACAGATATTTTAAAACCTGCAACATCAATAAAAAACACTATAAAACTTATAACACACTAATCTCTGGGTTATAGACCATTAACTATGAATATTTTTATATTTTGTCAAGGATATTATATGGTAATTTAAGTAAGTAATATCTCCGTTAGCCGGAATCCCTCAAACCAGGAACTCTCCGATAGCCGAAATTGAAATTATCTCGGAAAATAGTTCCCAAAGCCGGAATTTTCCGGTAAATTCCGGCTTTGGGAATGATTTTCCGAGAGGCACATTTTCCGGAAATTCAGCGAAAATTTTCCCGATACCCGGAAAATTCCGGGGATGGGGGATTTGTTCTCCAGGTTTGAGAGATGAAAATCAGGCGCATTTTCTGGAAATTCCGAGAACATTTTTCCGTTACCTGGAAAATACCGGAAAATTCCGAGGATGAGGGATTTTTTCCAGGTCCGAGAGATGATGTAAGGGATAATTTCTTGAGACTTCCGAGAACATTTTTCCATTTCCCGGAAAACTCGGTGAATGAGGGATTTCCGGAAAACGAGACGACTCTCTCAAAGCAGGAAAATGATCCCTCATCCCCAGAATTTCCAGAAAATGCACCTGATTTTCATCTCTCAAACACGGAAAAAACTACCCCATCCCGGAATTTTTCAGGCAACGGGAAAATTTCTGGAAAATGTGCCTCAGGGAAAATCGTTACCAAAGCCGGAACTTTCCAGAAAATTTCGGCTTTGGGAATGATTTTCCAAGAAAATTTAAATTCCGACTATCGGAAAGTTCCGGGTTTAAGGGATTCCGGCTAACGGACATATCATTATATTTTCTATTTATTTAATTTTTTCTATCTATGATCATAAATCACCTGTAGTGGGTAGGGCATGAAGGATGAGGTAAATTGCAGGATAAAACACAGTACAAAAAAATGATCATATAACACTAAAATGATCTCTCTACATACTTTGAACGTGAAGAAATTAATTATTTACAGTAAATATTCCTCTGAAAAAATTTGTCACTGTCGGCGAATATTGTCTTTTGCTCTGTTTGCTTACAACTGACCTGCTCGATCCGAGCGTTCTCTCACGCCGAGAAAAAATTTAAAATTACACCATGAAGCTTTAACAAAGTTACTTTCATTGATACCAGATATCAAAATAATTGGCAGGGAGCGCGGAGGGTTGAGCACCCGGCTAGGAAGTTAGGTACAGTTAGGTAGGTTTCTTTGGTTTGTTATGTCAGGTTCTATTAGGTTCTAGTAAATGACACCTCTTTTAAAATACTGTACTTAATATTATGGTCACTACGGAATATTTACTGACATTTGTACTACAGTTGTTCCTTCCCATGAACTGGTGTTCCAAATTATAAATTGGGTGGCCATTTCTGTGCATGGCAACTTCTAAATATTTACCCTGATTATTAGTTAGGTGTTGCAAATAAATAAAGACGGGATAAATGTGCAGTACCAGTATTTACCATTTGTCCTGGAGAAAGCTGCCAGCAATGTCAGATTTTATGTTTTTGCTCACTTTGTACCTGTATTATTGTTTGAATAAATGGTTTCACTTTCAAGTTTACCGTCTTATTGTGGCTCCTGTGTAGCCAGTCGTCACACATCTACCAGGTATTGGGTCTTATGGCTTACCTGAATATACAGTATAAAAGATTAGTTGCATACACTTTTAAACTATCTACATCCCTCACAAAATGTAAGTCACAAACTCTATTCTAATTTTAAAATTACAATAGGCAGTGGATATTTTGGTAATACAGTATTTCACATGTTGCCACTAAACGAATCTCAGGAATTTTATAGTCGTAATCAATATTTTCGATAATTCTAAGACACTTTTCTTCAATGGCATTTCTGGTGCAAATTATGTTTGAGCGAGATATATTAAAATTTTTATTATGTACGTTTGTATGTGGCAGTACACACCCAGAACATGGAATGGCATAGTGGTATACACACACAGAACATCAAATGACTGTGGAGCTCCCCCGGTTAAGTTAAGTTACGTTAGATTAAAAAATGTTTTCCAATGGTTTTTTATGTGTTTTGAACACTTTTTAATATTTTTTTTTTTGCATATCTCAGAAACTACAGTATTGATTTGTGTCAGAAATAAAGGTCATTTTCGTTTATAACACATCAAAAACCATCTGAAATACATAGTTTCAAATTCGATTTCGTATAGTGGCAACAAGTGAAAATTTAGCGATAGCTTGCTGTGACCAGCTAAGTTCCTACTAACGCTATTTTACCATGAATGCGCTCTGATTTGCTAATTGACCATTACCAATGAACAACACAAGAATTATATTTGACCGTAACACTGGCGGCATTTGACATTTATTTTGCCGTGAGTTAATTGGAGTGTAGCTACAAACATAACTAACCATATTTCTGTTGTGCATGGAAACTAACTTATCATTATAAAAGAGGCGACATTTCCTGCAATCTAATAGAATCTGACCTAATCAAGCAAAGAAGCCTACCTAACTTTACCTAACTCCCTAGCAGGGGACTTACCCCTGTTGTATTAAACAGAAAGTATTTAACCAATCAGGGCACACTCACTGTAAAATAGCATTAGTAGGAACTTAGCCAGCCATGGCAAAGTATCTATTGCAATTACAGGTATTATTTTACTTTCGGACATAGTACCCCCGAAAGTTATAAACTACTGAAGCATTTAGATCTCACTATTCTGAGCATTATGAACCCCATATATACATGGCAGAAATGGATAATAGTGACTTATTTGAATTTAATTGATTTTAAGTATTTTTCAGTCTTCATCTGTGAGGTGATATTATCGGCACATAACGCATGCGCAATATTGACTGACGTTATTCAGCCTTGACCAATGAGGTATCGATATCATCACGCAAATTTTTTTCGACCAATCGCATTTGATTTTTTCAAAGGATGCAGCCTGGGTACAATTTTAATTTCATTGACCAGTTTCACAATGGCCGTGGTGGAGGTTGGTTGTCGTTTGTGCTCCTACGATTATTTTAAGTTTATTGCCGAGTTTTACAAGAGATGATTATTCTACCCAATTCTTACATATCCCTGGTCCCTCCACTTCTAACTAAGGTATTGTATTTTCAGACATGGCGCGCCTCAAAGGTATAACTACTGAAACATTTAGGTTAGTTTAAGCTAGGCCTACAGGGGTCTGGGGGCAGAGCCCCCCCCAGCTAGGAGTTAGGTTAGGTTTTGTTAGGTCAGATGACTTATTTTCGTTTTCTCCCCCACCCAAAACCCCCAATTTCTCAGGCTTTCCCCCATTATTGTTGGGGGGGGGGGGGCATAGCAATTTCCGCCAAAAATGAAGGTCAGATTCGTTTAAAACACACCAAAATATACTGAAAAAACATATTGGTCAACCCCTAGGGACTCATGTCCTATAGTAAAAATTTACCCAATTACAATATGAGAAGAATCAATACGACATTCTAAAGACAACAGCCATTTTTCTAAGAAAGCCTTGAACTGTCTGTGTTCATCTGACATGGCAATAACTTTTAATTCAACAGTTTTGAAATTATATAAATCATACTGAGGTATGACAGGTCACAAAATATAAATAAAGCAGAGATCGGCACCTCCTCTACCCAGAGAGATCAGAGCACTTGCAATTAACTAGCTTATACTACAGACGGGCAAGGGGGGGGTGGGGGGCTAATTGAGGTGTATACACATCCCAAAGGGCACTGACCATACCTGGAGCTGGCGGACGCTCGCCCCACAAGGGGTCACAGCTCAAGCCCCAAGTCCAGAATATTGAGGGCAAACTTTTTCGGAGTGAGAGTTGTGAACTGTTGGAACAACCTGCCAGTGTAGTGACGGCACCGAGTGACAGCTGTTTAAAGACCAGACTTGACCAACACTGGAGCAGGTTCAGGTACATTCAGGACCCAGTACTTGCCAACAGAGACGTGATCAAGCCGATCAGTAGCCAGGTACAGAAGTAACAATGTTTACACTACTACGAGCCTATCAGACTTCAGGAGGGAAACAAAGCTAAATATAATATGAATGACTTTTTTAATTTTTCCGTCACTTATCAGTTTACCAGCCGGTTGGTCTATTTATTTATCAATTCTTTGTTGAGTCAATATAGTGTTAACCATTGTTTCAATTTATTTCTATCCTTATACACGTTTTCACTCAACGTGTACGTGTACCTGTACAGTACGTGGTACGCGTGCATGTCGAATTGTGATGAGCTGCAAAAAGATTTCTGTCAGCTTCAGAAGTGGTCAAAGGAATGGGTGTTAAATTTCTTTACTTTAATTTATCCTCTTCGCCACTGATCGGCTTGTTATATGTTTGGGCGTACGGTTACGTCTCTTTTTACGAATTGGTAATGAAATTATATTCTAGATCCAGCAAAAGTGCCTTGTATATATATATATACAGAGAGAGAGAGAGAGAGAGAGAGAGAGATAGAGAGTGTGTGTGTGTTTCTGGATATTATACACTTGGTATTGTGTTGAATCTTTGTTATTGAAGAACAAATTGACTATTTTTATATTTTATTGTTTATTGCACATACAAATGAACACATCATTTAGTTATTCCAAGATAATTATGTTTAGAATATAAAACATCCATCATTCAGAGTACCGTGCCCACATCTGAGGGTTGGCGACCACATTCACCCACTTTAAATGTTCTCGGGCTGTTTTTACGAATCCTCCAAGGTTTGGTATCTCTCTGAGGACCCAGATTTTAATTTCATTCATCCATCCCAGTCTTTGCCTTCCCCTGGCCCTCCCCTTTTATCAACTTTGCCAATTAATATCTCCGTTGATATCCTTTCTCATCTTTCTTTTTCTATGTATTTCAAGCATCTCTCTTGAAGTTTTTTGCTATTCTTAGTACATTCTCATTTGTTTTCCTGTCAATATAACTTATTCTCAGCAATCGCCTCTAACACCACTCGAAGGACCCCAACCCCTTTCTGATGCCTTTGCCACATAAAGGTTTTTAGCAGCCCTTTGTTCTCAAATTGAAGTTAATGTGATTTTTCAATAGGTATATTATATTGTAAAATTCCGTTTTTGCTTGCCCTATTCTTCCGTGCATTTTAACCACCCTAGCTAATGTTACTTCCGAAAAAAATCCACTTGTTTAATTGCCTTATTGCCTACCATAATTTGTATTTTAGGATTAATTTACATTTTGGAAACAACCATTACTTTAGTATATACAATATTAACTCTTAAAAGCTATTTTTCACCCCTTTCCACTTATTTATTTATTTATTTTTTAAACATAACTTAGTCGAGTCATTCGAGTGTCCAAGACTCCAAGTCTGGAGCTGGCGGATGCCCATACCACTGACTAGAGGTCGCAGCTTAAGTTTGGAGAAGCCACACGTTCCAAAAACTTGTCAGGGCAAACTTTTTCGGACAGAGAATTGTGAACTGTTGGAACAATCTGCCAAAGAACGTTGTGACGGCACCGAGTGTGAGCGTATTTAAGACCAGACTTAACCAACACTGGCGCAGGTACAGATACTAAAAATACCTTCTGGAACCAGCAGATACCCAGTACTCGGCAAAAGTGCGTATTGGAGACAGAACCGAGGATAAGATAAAGAACAATGGTCCAGTTTCTGCACAAAAGTGAAGAAATTCAAGTGCTTATCTTAGCACTTGAATTTCTTCACTTATGTTGATTTATTATTTTAAACTTATGGTAATTAATCAAATAGCCCTTGTTTTATGTATCGATTCTGTATTAACTGCTATTATTGTTTGTGTCTCTAGAACAATGATCAGTTCTATATTTCATTATTATGAATTTACATATGTAACTGGAGAACTCAGCGAGGCTCTTTTCTTAGGATGGAGTAATTAAGTGATGTTCCGAAACGTAAATCAATTGAATTAAACAACTCATCACTCAAGATATTTAAGTGATTTCCCTGGTGTTCTTCACTTCTAAACTTTAATCTTTATTATAACTTCCTTGATAGTCATGGCAACGGCCTCGGCAGCTCTTCGAATATATCCCCAACAAAGACTTCTCTGCCGGTAGTACTCTAGAGGAATCGCTTGGAAAGGGCAGGAGGAATGGGGCGGTCGCCACAGTCTACATTCACAGCCCAGTCGCAGGTTTCTTTCTCAATATTATAGAGTGTGTCAGTTCCACATTCGAACAGCCAAGCGGTGCCCTTAGAGCACTCGCAGTAGTCCTTGCAGTTTTCAGGCACGGGAAGGTACACCGGATCTGTAAGAGGAGGAGGTAAGTGTCTTGCCGACGGTTTATCATTTGACGAGCAATATAACGGTGAAATTGACCTATACTCAAACTAAGATACCCTATTTCACTATAATAAAGATGAAACTGCATAATTTATTTGTGTGAATGTGAATGTCCGACTTCTGAAGCGTTGTAATTAGTAGAGGGAAGGAGAAACGGGGTAAACAATAGGAGGAATGATTCTTTTTGTATCTTCTAAGATATAAAAAATCCCTAAAATGTGTAGTAAGTTTAATACCGGCTTTTTGTTATGAGGGGGTTACTGTTGTCGACACAGGTCATAGTGGGTGGTGGCGTTGCTACATCCTTGCTTCTTAGGGTACTACACTACATCTAAGAATGACGTCATCACACGTAGGTAGAGGGGAGGTGACAACGGAAGGCGGGTTAATGATACTTCTTTTTCAAACTGAAAACCAAGTTCTGCTTGTAATTTGTATGTGATAATAAATTACCATTATAAACTAATCTTTATAACAAACGCATAACTTCGATTATCTGTTGAAACATTTAATCAACCCATCACAACCTCTACATTCTACAATGTCTGAACTTTATCCTCTTTGCCACTAGTTATCCGCTTGAGCGATCGGTCACGTCTGTTAGGCATTGTTGGCAAGTACTGTGCATGTGCTGGCTCCTGAATGTGTCTGTGCCTGTGCCAGTGTTCAACAAGCTGGTCTTGAATGAGCTCACACTCGGTGCCGTCACAACACTCTTTGGCATATTGTTCCAGAGTTCACAACTCTCACCCCAAAAAAGTTTCCCCTGAATTTCCTGAACTTGTGGTATTCGCCAATAATGTCGTCTGAGGTGTTAACGACTTCTATTAAGTCGTCCCTTCTCCTCCTATAATATAATTTAGGAAACTGCGGAGTTCTGCGGTAATCTCTCTGAAATGGGGGGCGGGAGTTGCGCAGTGACAGGTGACAGAGATGGGTACGGGGGAGGAGGAAGGGGAGAGGGGATGGAAAATAACTGATGTTGGATAAAATTAATTTTGAACACCCTCGTCGCCACACAACCGACGTACAGGTGTGTTTCTTCCAGTCACTTTTAAATTCCTATTCCTCATTTGATAGACTTCACTATAGTTCTTATATCCCGAATACTGAATAGGAATATAGTACACAAACAAGCATAAAAGAATGCACAGAAAATAAACACACACACACACAAATATATATGATCTTACCCGCTCCATCTACAGGTGGACACTGGGCGGATATGGAGTCATTGCAGGGTGTTTCACTCTGGGCAGAGACGAGAGAGGCAGCACAAAGGCCTACCAACACCACCAACAACAACTTCTGCGGGAGAGTCACAACACTAATGAGAAAGAAGTTGTATTGACCACGCGAGGGCGGGAGTCAACATAGGACAACTACTGTATATCTCTTACTAACGCTGTATAGTACACTACCTGTATAGTGCACTACTCCCATCAGCAATTACGGCTCGGTATCTTTTTTGGTGTTAATTTTTTTTGCCAATTCTTGTTTATTGTATTGAAGTACCTTCTCATGAAATAATACCTATTCTGTTCTAATTAAAAGTGGCGTTCTACTGGGTTCTGTCTGCTTTTTCCTGGTATGTTATCATTTACTGCATTCACTCCTATGTCAGTCCTACTCACTCAAATCTCTTCAGACTATTTGACTTATTTATGAACAATTACATATTACTTACTAAATTATTATTTTGATATAATTAAAGTTGGAGGAACTAAGGATAAAAAGAAAAATCTAACAGCTGCGTATCTATGCTCATTGAATACAACAGTGATAATTACTTTGGTTTAGTTATACACGTATTCCCAGAAATATAAAGAAAGATAATAGAGAAGAGTACTACAGTCCTACTATAGAAGAAGAGACAGACTCACAAAGAGAAATGGATTGAAATAACACGAATAAATGAAATAATAAATAAGCAAGAGAAAAAAAATAATCTTAAAATAGCAAATATCTTTAAGTTTACAGTTTTTGCTAATATTTTTCTGCAAACAGTATTCCCAACCCAAGCAGCTGGGTCACTTAGAACAACAAACAACCTCTCCAGTAAATTACCATGATTTTTGATGCTTCAGCGAATATGGTAAGAGAAAGAATCAGAGTTGATGGCGCGGCACACATTATATACACCACTACCTCACGTTATCCTTTATCACTACCCGATAATGTGACAAGGTACACGACTGATAAGATGGGTAACAAAATATCTATCTATCTATCTATCTGGAAACTCTTGACATATTTTCACCCACACCCACTAGCAATATATAATTTTCTTTTTCTCGCGTGGATTACAAGTGTACATATGATTGTCAAGCGTCATTTTCACAGGCACTACCAGCAAGCCTCGTTCATTCACAAGGAAAATTTAAACCAGCAGTAGTTGTCATGGATTGTCAAGATTAATAATGGTTGTGGGAAGATTAAATTACGTAAGAGGTTCGCCATGCGTAGAAGAACAGAAAGTGTGTGAATTATATTAACTTAAGTGATGTATGTGACAATAACTTCGACGAGGGTCCTCATATGTACTATACTTTAATGTCAATATGTTATTACTGCGCTTATCGACTGAGATCTTTAGATGCGCCAGCATGGTTAGTAATTACAATAGCCCAGACTTCTTAAAAGTACCGAACTTTGTTACTTAAGAAAAAGTATTGTTACATTGGTAAAATGTTACTCATGTAGAAGTAAAAGAATCCAAAGTTCAATGTACTCGAGTAGAAGTAAAAATGTATCTAATTCATAAGGTATTCAAGTACTGAAAGTAAAAAGTAACAAAATCAATAATCGTCTCAAATATTAAAATAAATCCACAGTAAATTAAAAAAAAACTAGTTAACTAAAAACCAAATACAATAGCATTACACATGTTTATTTGCAAATCTTTGGATCGAGATTAATCAATAAGTGATTCTGAAAATTATGGCTGTCCAATCAGGATCTTTTAGGTTTAAATATAAGCCCAGCATGACTAAATAGACGCTCACAAGCAGCAGACGTCAAGAAACGATTGTGATTGGTAAGCTTTCAAGGCTGTTCTGTGTCTCGTGATTGGATATTTAAAACTATTGTTTGGGGCATGTAACAAGTAACGATTTTTGTTTTTTCACTTGTATTGGAGTAAAAATATTAGAATACCATACTTAAGTAAAATTCCTGAAAAAGTTGGGTACCTTTTAAAAAGTAAATATCCAAAAATGTTAATTGAGTAATCTACTCAAGTAAATTTACTTCGTCACTTTACAATTCTGTTGTCGGGTTCAGGTGTTACCCTAATTGTCTTTATATAACGATGATACTGTCGCTGTATACTCATTCTTCAAATAAAACAAGATAATGTGAAAATGGATTCTTAGAAATACGACGCCTCCGCTATTCAGTTTTTTGACGTTAACTTAAAAAGTATTAAATAGTCTATGGGGGAGGGGGGGGGGAAGGGGTACAACCTCTCATGAATGTACCCAGGTGTAGTGTTTCCCAAGCAGCAGTAGTGCAGTGTGGCGACGCAGAATACCAGATATGTGGATTATTAGGCATCGGAAATTTGATTACTTTAAAATGTCACTAGGCAAGTATTTTTTTTGCGTGAGATTAATTAGCGGAATAAAAATGATGATTACGATTGTGTATGGAAAAGAAAAGATGGTGGACTGTGATACAGTCACCCAAAAAAGTCCTGTCGCGAACCACGAACTCTGAGATTCAGACTCGTGAACCCGAAGCAGTAGACACTGATACATTATTCTGTCCATAAATGCTTCGGATTCAAGAGTCTGAATCTCGGGGTTCATGGTTCGCGACAGGACTTTTTTGGGTGACTGTACGTGCGCATTTGATAAGATTTATCTTTTCGATGCCAGCGCGTGGTTGATACGACCTCCCACAGAGAACCATCGACCACTGCAACTACCACGGCGATATGCCAGGGATCTTAATAACTTCCCGAGGATCTAACAACTGCCCACTAAAGAAGCATCACATATACCTACATGTCTTAAACGTGATTAGTATTGAAGGAAGGACATGGTAAACAGAGGAAAGGCAAGACAAAATACAACGTAAACTTTTGTAAGGCTATCTATCTAAAGGTTGCGGTATGAAGATGTTAATGTATGTAAAGATTAACTTACGACAAACACACATTTAGTATGAAGTAAAAGGACCGAAAGATAATTCAGGTAAAATTAAGTATAGGCGCAGGAAAAGGAGTCTGGCATGTAAAGATGGATGGAGGATGATCACTCTCTCTTCTGACAACATTCATATACGTTTTCACGCTGTTCATTTCTAGTAATTAGTTGACATTTCCTGTTTACTGTAGTTGACCGCGTCTGTAATGCTTGAAAAAAATTTGGTTCGTCACCGTTTTCATCGTCCGGGCAACAACTGTTACGTTTCAACAAAGAATCTGTAACTTTCTCTTGTGCTTTAATCATCACCTGAAAGTCTTAACGTGGGTTGTTCAAAAGGACAACTTGAAGCCCTGACCTTTAGTAGGACGGTCATCCTCTAACTCCAGATATGTACTGTATATGTGACTGAGTAATGTCCTTTGGGGTGCTGATAAACTTCTATTACATCGGCCCTTGCTCTTCTGTAGGCAGGTGAAAATGTTCCAATTTCTCACAATAACTCGGGTATCGGAGAGGTGGCACCAGCTCGGTGGCCTTCCTTTGCACTTTCTCAATCAACTGGCAGTCTTAAGTATATCGCAGAAACCAAGCAGAAATACAGCACAATACTCCAAGTGAGGAAGAATTACACCTTTGAAAAACTTTATGAGACGAACCATTCATGTTTGTGTATAGCATCTTCATACAAGTCCTGCCACTGTAGTTTATTAACAAGATTAACTTTCTTCTCACAATGATCTTCCATGGTGGATTACATGGTCTTGTTGGTAAATATAGAGTTCATAGGTCAATAGGTGTTGGAAAGTTTCAGCTTTCCTCACCTGGATAATAATGTTACCGATGCAGGTTTTAATCTTCCGGCAATTCACCTATTTTAAATGACACGTTGAAGATCATCGCCAACAGTCTGCTTACATTAATGTGTACCTCTGTCAGTAAACTGGGATATATTGTGCCTGGACCTGGGAATTTTTTTTCCTTGATCTTACGATTCTATAATATTTCATTATCTGAAATGCTGAAATGATCTAGTGGTGTCTCCCTAAAGTTCCTCTGCGGAAGTTTTGACACTTCTGATTCTGGTTTCGCCGTGAAAACGAGTGAAAAACTTTGACGAGACACAATTTTCCTGGTGTGTGTATGTATATTATGTATGCTGTATGTATATTATGTATGTGCTCCATTTATATGCTCTATTTATTCAGCCTAGCTAGCAGCGTGTGGCAATGTATTTACCATGTCCCACATGCTTAATTAATGTGCCTGGCGACATATGGGAGCTGTTAGTGTATCACTTACCACATGTCGCCTAGAAGGCTAGTTGACCCCCATACAGAGTAAGGAGCGCCACCTCCCTTGTGTATCTCTGTTTATCCAGTAAATAGAACCTACAAAAACTCTACAGGTGTTTGTGTTCGCTCCTGTAGATAGAACTTGATACCAGAACACATGCAGTGTGTTTATCACAATTGTTGTGGTTCTATTTATCTATATTCACATTTTAGAGATACCTTCATTCTAAAAGACTAATCTGAACCATGATTTGTCCTTGAATCCTTGTGAGACGGGGGGAGATGTGGAGGGGCTGGTATGAAAACAACAGGTCAAAGATAATGTTTATTGACGTTTCGGCTTTACAGGAGTCATCGTCAGAAAGTAAAGAGCAATATAGACGCGCCCGCCTCACCCAATCTTTGATGTGAAGAACACTTGGAGAAAAAGACGCAACGCTGAACTCAGAGAACTGAAACACCAGCACCTATTAAAAAAATTCAGAACATCTCAAAGAGTGAGATGTGTAGGGGGCAGGTTGCACCACTGAGGAACAAGGACTACCGAGACGTAAACCATTGGGAAGTCCAAAAAAGTGATGGAAATATAGAGAACTATCACTGTACCTCCTCTAGAGACTACATGTGTGGAACATATTCAATTTTCCTTATAACCAACTAATCTATGACTGCACGAAGTATGAAAGGTAACTGCGAGTAGTGGTAGGAATATTTAACCAAGTGATACTAGTGACGGCTTCAGTTCCTCCCTCAGCAACACTAAACATTAGGTGGCGATGAATTGACGATAGGCCTGCTGCCACAGTCCACATTATTTGGCCAGTCACAAACGTGCTTTATGTCATTATACAGCAAATTGGCATCACAGTGGAAGCTCCAGGCGATGCCTCCGGAACACTCGCAGTATTTGGAACAGTTGTCGGGGTCCGCGATGTACAGTGGAGCTGTGAGGGAATTAAAATACAGTAATGTAATGTGAGGACATTTCTCCTTCATTTCGAGTCCTTCATGCAAAATTAATAAAACAAATCCTTTTATAAACACTAGTGTTGTGTCTGCAAACAGAATATTGTCAGATTATATATATATATATATATATATAAGCAAGTAAATCACTGTAGGTGCGCGTGATCCAGGTATATGCTGATAGCCACAAGGAAAAAGAAAACACCCCTGAAGATGTGAATTACAGGAAAGCGTTTGGGAACTTCGTGTTTCCTTGTGGTTATCAGCATATATACATATATAATTAATTTTTTTAGTCAACCCCTTTCAGTGTTATATACGAGTATCATGATTTTAAACTATTGATGGACTAATATAATTACTAGCCTAGATCCGCGCTTTAAGGCGTTAGTTGTTGAAGCACAGTAATAATAACATATAACACCAACTCCTCAGTACGTTAACAATTATAAATGTATGAAAAGGGGTTATGACAAGGTAAACAGGAGGAGAGTTAGACGCGAAACTCTTGAATGAATAGAACTCACGGGTCGGGTCTTTTGCTGGGCACTCGTCTGTGATTTTCTTGCTGCATTCTATCCCGTCAAGGCTCGCCCTCACCTCCACCACACACAAGACAAACACACCAACCAACAGCAACTATTGTAAAGTGGATATAAATGTTGCTGTGATAAAGCATAACAAATTGTTACTACTAAGAGAATATGGAAAATAAATACTTAAGAGTAGAGGATTCCTTACACATTTGGTTACGTCGAAAATG